ACCCTCCCTTATATTTTATAAAATTATAAAAATAATAAATCTCAAATTAGGGGCCAGCAAGATGGCTTAGCAGGTAAAGGAGACTGACTTGATTTCTCTAAGAAATAATTCTAACAATTTAGGGAGGGGAAAAAAACAAAAACAAAAACACAGCTAGATGTGACAGCATATGCCGGTGATCCTAATACTTGGGAGGTGGATGCAGGAGGATCAAGAATTTAAGTCCCTCCACAGCTACATAATGAGTTCAAAGCTGACCTGGGCTACATGACACCCTGTCTCAAGAAGACTTAATTAAAAATTAATGCTCCAAGCTTGTGATATAATAGTAAATACACAAGTCAAAGACATATAAAATGGTCTGAAGAATATGGTGTCAATTTATTAAGAATGATATTTACAGGGGCTGGAGAGATGGCTCAGTGGTTAAGAACTGAGAAGACTTGGGTTCGAATCCCAGCACCCACATGGCAGCTAACAACTGTCCATAACTCCAGTTCCAGGGGATCCGATGGCCTCGTCTGTCCTCCACAGACATTGCATGACACGGGTGCACTTACCTACATGCAGGCAAACACTCAAACACATAAAATAAAAATAATAAATAAAATTTTTTTTAAATTTTAAATTAAAAAAAAAAATGACATTTACGGAGCCGGAGAGATAGCTCGGCAGTTAATGTTTGCTGCACAATCAGGCAGATCAATATTTGGATCCCAGCACCCCTGCAATGCATGCCTTTAACAGGAGACAGGAGGATCGCTGGGGTTTGCCAATAAAACATGAACCCAGGTTCAGTGAGAAACACAGCCTCAAAGGAGCAGGCAGAGTGTGATAGAGGATTACCTAGCACCCTCTTCTGGACAAAGCAGGAGTCTTAACAAACACAGATGGGTAGAACTGTACTTACTGGGCTTCACAGACTCCAAAGGGACAAACACGTGTGCCAGAGGTGTATTCTGTGAGGCTGGGGAAGAAGCCAAAGGGCCAGCCTCCCAAGACCAACCTGGAGAGGCCTTGGTACCTGGGGGCACTTCCTTGGGGATACTTTTCTGTGGAATGTAATTCCTACAAAGAAATAAAAACAATCAAGGACTAGCAAAAATTAGAGCACTCCAGGAATCTGTGACTAGTTTTTTTCTGAAGAACAAGATGAGGAAAGGAAAAAAACCCATGCATACACCAACATCCACAAGAGGAAAATGATTAACTAAATCATACAAGTCATAATTGTAGCTACTAAAGAGAATCAGGAACATTTACAAACAAATAAGGAAATGTCTCAAGACCATAATGATTTGAAAAAAGTTATACCTCTTAGGGCTAGTGAGATGGTCCAGAGTTAGAGTTTAGGTAAAAGGCACATGCTACCAAGCCTGATGACCTAAGTTCAATCTCCAGGACTCACATGGTAGAAACAGAGGCCCCATTCCCAGAGTTGTCCTTTGACCTTCATATACACATCATGGCACATGTGCACCATGGCAAGCACACACAGAGATATACAGATGTGCACACTAAATAAATGTAATAAATAAATCTCTCCTCTTTGAAAAGAAAACAACTTTCTACTTTCTACATTTTTTTAGGACTGCTAAGTCTTTCTAGTTATAAAGTTTTTCTCTGAGGGGGCTGGGGAGATGGCTTAGGCCAGTCAGGGATTGCATAGTGAGACCCTTTCTCAAAAAAAAAGTTTTGGTGGCCAGGCATGGGTATATCCAGGAAACGGCTATGAGCACGCTACCACACTGTACTCCTGCTGCGCATCTCCTGCCGGGGGCTGGGCCTGCAGGCAGCCACTGAGCCATGCACTCATGGTTGGCCAGCCATCATCACCCAAGGGACTGACCCCAAGGAGGACAAGGGCCGATCAGCCAGGTGTTGGCAAGAAAGGACTTGGCAAGGAAGAAAGAAAATGGCTAGAGTTAAGAAAGAGGTGGTAGTGGCTCTCAGCAAAATGTGACTCCAGTAAGATGTCTCATCACTGGCTACTTCTGACCAGGGAGGAAGATGTGAAGGCCACAGAACCAAAAAAAAAAAAGCCAGCTAGAATCTTGACCAGGAAACAGGAAACAAAAAAATCCATCTGTTCTTGAGCAAAAGCAAACGGTGGTTTTCTCCAATATTGATGTCCCTCTACTGAGACATTCAAGCCAGAGAGGAACCATTGCCTCCATCTGCTGCGCAGACACCAAAATGCTCTGTCTTAAACACAAGTATAATCATGTGGACAGAGTGATGATGACAGAATCATGTAGAAATGAGCATAAATAATATTGTGACCCCTCCCACAGGCCTGGAACTGTGGTTCTGTCCTGTGAACCTGAAGTTGTAGTTCCACCCCATAACTTGGAGCTGTGGTTCTCTCTCAAGCCTGGTGCTGGGTTCCCTCCTGTAAGCCAGAGCTGTGGTGCCCTCCCATGAGATGGAGCTGTGGAGGTGGAGCTCCTGTGAACCTGGAGCTGTCATCCCCTCCCATGTACTGGAGCTCTGGTCCCCTACTGCAGGTCATGGTTCTGCATTCCTCTGGTGGTAGGCTGATGGTGGAGCAGAACAGAGGATTTCCTGATTTGGGATGGTAGTTTCAGCCTTCTCTAAGTGGCTGTATTTCCACAGCCCCCTCCCCTAGGGTCCCAGGTTGTGTGTGGTAGTGGCTTTGCCTGTGCTGGGCTTATGCTGGGGACAGGGGAGGTCTCAGTCTTTTGCTGATTCTGGTCTTAGGAGGACTTATTCCCTAGAACAGACTTCCTACCTCCCCTTTTGATGCCACATGTGGTCCTGAGCATCTGGGCCTTGATGTTGGACCTCCCTCATTTCCAGGCACAAAGAAGTTTTCCAATATTTTTCTATTACTCCTCTATAGCCCCAGTGTGCCTTTACTTACGCCCTACAGAAAATGTAAAACACCTCAGGGTTGGGGATTTAGCTCAGTGGTAGAGCACTTGCCTAGCAAGGGTAGGACCCTGGGTTTGGTCCTCAGCTCCGAAAAAAAAAAAAAAAAAGAAAATGTTAAACACCTAATTGAACTTCTAGAGATTAAAAAAAAAAAATCAGTCTGGGAAGGAAGGAAGGAAGGAGGGAGGGAGGGAGGGAGGGAGGGAGGGGAAGGGGAAGGAAAAAAGAAAGAACTGTAATAACTAAACTGATATAATTCTCAAACTAAAAATACATAATTGTATTTTAGAATAGAAATTTGCAATTCTATATGTCTTCTTTAATTTTTGAGTATTACTGACAAGATTGTACTATCAAGCTTCAACAATGTGAATTTGTGACTGCCGCTATAATTTGAGTTTGTTTCACTCCCTTTCCAAATTCTCCAACCTATAAAGTCTTCCAATGTAATGTTATTATTATTATTATTTTTTTTTTTTTTTGGTCTTTTTGAGACAGGGTCTCCCTGTAGCCCCAGGTGTCCTGGAACTCACTACACAGACCAGGCTGGCCTTGAACTGACCAGGCTGGCCTTGAACTTAGAGCTCTACCTGCCTCTGCCTCCCAAGTGTCGGGATTAAAGGCATGTGCCACCATGCCCAGCTTATTATTTTTTTCTTTTTTTATGTGTATGAGTGTATTGCCTGCATGTGTGTCAATGTACCCATGCTGTGCCCATGGAGGTCAGAAGAGAGTTCAATTTCCTTGGAGTTACAGATGGTTGTTAGCTACATGTGGGTACTAGGAATCGAACCTGGGTCCTCTACAAGAGCATCCAATGCTCTTAACCATTTAGCCATCTCTCCAGCCCCACCATACTTTTTTTAAAAAAGGCAAATGCTAACAAAAATAAAAAAAAGTTTTGCTCAGTTTCAAACATGGCAATCAAAGGGGGGAAAAGCATCAAAACTATCACTGTCAGTTGAGCATGGTGCTATATGCCTTTAATCTCAGCACTTAGGGAGAAGCAAGAGGATGAGGAGTTCAAGGTCACCACTAGCTCCTGGCCAGCTTAAGGTCAGCCTGAACACAAGCCTGTCTTAAAAAACAGAAACAGGTTGGTGAGATGACTCAGAGCAGGTAAAGGTGCTTGTTACACAAGCCTGGTGACCAGTGTTGAATCCCCAGAACCAACATAAACGTGGAAGGAACCATGTGCTGGATAGCTTTAGTGTCAACTTGACACACCTGGGTTGAGGGAACCTCAACTGGGGAATTGCCTCCATAGGACCGGCCTGTGGCCATGTCTATGGGGCATCTTCTTGATTGTTGAGTGATCTGGGAGGGCCCAGCCCCTGGGCAGGTGGGCCTGTGTTGCATAAGAAAGCAGGGTGAGCAGGGGCCAGGAGAGCAAGCCAGTAAGCAGTGTTCCTCCATGGCCTGTACTCCAGCTCCTCTCTCCATGTTCTTGCCCTGAGTTCCTACCTTGGGCTCCCTGATGAACGGTAAGCTGAATAAATCCTTTCCTTCCCAAGGTGGTATTGGTCAGAGTATTTTGTCACAATGGAGAAACAAACTAGGACAAACCAACTCCACAAACTTGTCCTCTGACCTCCTCACACAAGCTGTGGCACACATGCTCATATACACATGCCATGCACATACACACACATGCACACCCATAATAAATGATATCTTCTGTCGTTTATTTCTATTAGTCCTTTAAAAACTACCACCATCATAATACCCCTCTCTTTCTAGATGTGTCTGATTTAGAATGGGGATTAAAACAACAGGGGGAAGTAGCATCTTGTGCTTGCAAGAGAAGAGCGTGCCCCAGGAGCCTGTGCAAGGAGGACCTTCAGACAGAAGCCACTGGCTCAGAACACTCACAAGGGTCCAGGAGATGGATGTGGTGAGAGGAGATCCAGCAAGTTCTTGTCTGCAGAAGGGCTCCGGGCAGCACCACCAGGGAGTGTGAAGGCGGTCAGCTGCTTCTTTTCCTTACAGCAATTCTGTTAAACCAGGAATGGCTAAAATGAGGCTATGATATACATGTCTTGTGGCAGGAGAAAGAAATGGCAGAGTAGAAGACTCCTGCACAGAACTTCTGGAAGCAGAATCTGGTACAACGGAAGGATGAGGACTGGGAGAGGAAGAGATGTCCCCACACTGAGGAGGGTGGGTATGAGCAGACAGAACCGATCAAGAGGAACCCCGGACCCAAGTCCAGCAGATAATCATGGAAATTCCAAAGAATGGGTAGTTGAGTTCTCCCCACAGGCAGCACTGCCCTTGAGTGATCTTCCCCTTAACTTCCCACACCAGGAAGAGCTTCCCTACCTTGTTCAGGACAGGAGCATCACTAATCCCTGTGAGAAAGGAGCAGAGGGAGATATGCCACTATAACTCCACCTGACAGGAGATGGGGCAGGATGGCATACCCACCCTTTCCAGGACATCTAGAAAACCCAAGGTCACTCCATCCAAAGTGATTTCCCAAAACTGTATAATGTGTTCAGAGTCCCTCAAAAGGAGAAACCCAACTCATCTATCTCGCTCCTCCGGGCTATTCTGTGCATGCATAACATTCCCCCTTACCTAAGGCTGCCAGGTCCTGATGAAGCAAAGATGGCACCTCCAGGTCAACAAGGGGACAGTTTTTCGTGCAGGCTAGTGGTTTCTGAAAGACTAGAAAACAGACAAGGTTAGGAGACTATTCGCACATGAAGGCATTCAAGTCTCCATTTAAATCCCACTGGCGTCCCTTAGGCCTCCCTCCCACCTTCTGCCTTCGGAGGGAGCTGACACAGCCTGCCAAACTGCATCTGGACTCACTGCCCTCCCCTCCAGTGTCAGGTCCTCCTCCTTCCCTGGCTTCTCCCATCAGCTGAGGCACAGGTTTAGGCTACTTCTTCAGCTTAAGACACTTTTGAGGTTTCTGATCACATTTGATCACAGTCACCCACAGAACTTGGAAAGCACAGATACCTAGGCCCAGCTCCAAGCAGTCTTAACTTTGAAAGTATAAGCCAGAGACTGAAGAATATGAAATTTTCAGGCTGAAGAGATGGCTCAGCAGTCAAGAGCACTGGCTGTTCTTGCAGAGGAGCCAGGTTCATTTCCAGCACCTACGTCAAGTGGCACAGAAGTGCCCAGTTCCAGGGATCCAATGCCCTCTTCTGGCCTCCAAAGGGCAGTAACATACGTGGTACACTTATATACATGCAGGTCAAGCTCACACACATAAAACAAAAAGAATAAAATCTTTAAAAAAATAAAAAACTGGGGGCTAGAGAGATGGCTTCGTGGCTGTTCTTGCAGAGAACCCAGGTTTGATTCCCAGAACCCACTGCAGCTAACAACTGTTCATAATACCAGTTCTAGGGGAAATCCAGTGCCCTCTTCTGACCACCACAGGTATTGCACAACACAGGTGCACATACATACATACAGGTTATACACTCATACACATAAAATAAAATTAGGGCCGGGCATGGTGGTACACACCTTTAATCCCAGCACTGGGGAGGCAGAGGCAGGTGATCTCTGTGAGTTCAAGGCCAGCCTGGTCTACACAGTGATTTCTAGGACAGCTGGTGCTACAGGGAGACCCTGTCTTAAAAAGACCGAAAAAAGAAAAATTGATTTTTCAGCAGTGCTAAGATGCTAGGCAAGTCCCTACCACTGAAGCACAAAGAAAACCATTTTCTTTGGTCTCAGCTCCTGTAAGCACTCATGAGAGGAATTCAAACCAGGCACAATACAGCCAACTGCTTGCATGTGTTGATATAGTGGGGGGTCCAGTCTGGCATGGGTATGATGGCTCTTGTGGCACAGACTGGCTATCTGAAGCCTGTTTCCATGGGAGGGTTAGAAATAAGTGCTCTCACGTCTACATCACAACACTATTAGGAGCTATTTCTTTTCTGTGATTTACACAGAGCTCCAAGGCAGAAGGCTCTTGGTACATACCTCTGGGGATAGGAATGTCTCCCACTGAGTTGGTCACTGCATTCCCAAAGGTGACTGGGCCTTCCATCACCTGTTTGTACAGCAGAACCCCCTGGGTGAGAAGGTCATTTGCCTGGAGAATCTCCGCTGAGGAAAGAGACAAGAATCAGTACTCCTGGGTTCAGCTGCCAACCATCAATCTTTTCTCACTCAATTCCCCAAGGCTCTACTCAGCTCAGCACACCCCATCTCCTGATCCTGATCATGCGACCAGGTTCCTACCAGACTTCCTCACTCAGCTCTTAAGTCTTAGTTTCCAATAGTGGAGGAGCAAAGTCTAGCTCCATGTCACACTGTCCACATGATGGCGTCAGTGAGCACTCCAAGCACTGCATTCAGCGAGGAATGGGGGTTTTTGGTTGAGACAGGTTCTTACTAAGCAGCACAAGCAGGGATGGAACTCACTGCTTATCCTTGGCTACCCTTGATTTTCCGGTGAGCTTCCTGCACCAGCCTGGGAGGTGTTGAGATTATAGGCCTAAAGTCACATGCCCAGAAGAAATGTTTAACTTTTAGTCTAAAATTGAACACTTACTTAATATGTATAAGGGCTTGAGTTCAATCCCTAGTTGTGCCCCTACACACACTTCTGAAATCCCAGCGCTTGGGGGGTGGATACAGGAGATCAGTAGTTCCAGATCACCCTCAGCTACATGTCAAGTTCAAGACCAGACTGGACTACATGAGATCTTGCCTCAAAAATAACAATAACATTAATATTAGTGTGTTTATTTATAATCTGTGATTCCAGCACTTGAGAGATCAAAGAAGAAAGACTACTGTAAGCTCAAGGTCAGTCTGAACTACAGTGAGAAACCTTAGCCCAAATGAATGAATGAATTTAAAAACCTTGAGCTGATGAAGCTTCTTTTGTAACTGGCAATTTTGTTGATATAGGTGTCGATGTTAGAAGAACTCCTTACTATCTGATTCAGTCACTCAAATAAAATTTTTATGAGAACTGACTGGTACATGAACCAGTTTCGTGACTTATACATTTTACTAATCTGGAAATACAGATCTAGTGAAAATGTGGCATTCTCACTGAGACATACTTAATAGTGTAAAATACACACTGCATTCCAAAACTGCATTATCCCATGGTCAGACTGACCTGCAATCGAACCTCTCTTAGTAAAGAGAGAACAGCAACAGCCGTACAAATTGAAATGCTGGAAGATTCTTCCCTTCTCAGGAGTGACCAGCTGCTGACCCTTCCAACCCCCCACCATTTTCTGGCTGTGAAAGAAGACTGCAAGCTGCTAGCTAATTCTGGACTCAAATTGCTGGCAAGTGTTTTTATTTGGCATGTGCAAGCTGTTTACAAACTTTGATTTGACTACCACTGACCTCACTGCAGTCCCTGGGGAAGTTATGGCTGTGATGTTCAACTGTCCACTTAAGGAAGTAACACTGGGGGCATGGGCACACAGTTGGGTGACTCTGTGAGGGCATTTCCAGAGAGGACTGTGGGGAAGACACCGGCTCTCAATGTAGACAACACCCCCTAAGGAGTCAGCTGAGCACCAGCACTCCCCTCCTCTGCTTCCTCATCTGCCACATGTAAGCAAGCAGCTCCACGTTTGACCACCATGTCTTACAGGCCATGACAGATTGCACCCTCAAACCATTAGTCAAAATAAACCCTTCCTCCCTTAAACTGCTTTTTGTCAGTTACTTGGTTGTAGGAATGAGAAAGGCAACTAATAGGTTAGAAACTAATTACATCACAAAAAGCAGACAACCTGACACCATGGGCTTCCTGAACACCCTCTGTGATGATGTATTCTTTTTTGTTTTCCTTTTGAGACAAGGTCTTTGCTATGTAACTCAGGAGGACAATGAACTCAAGATCCTCTTGCCTCAGAAGCCAAAGTGCTGGAATTACAGTCATATGTCACCATACCTGGCTACAACATTTGTTTTTTTCTGTTATTGTTTTTTGAGACAGGGTCTTACTATGTAGACCAGGCTGGCCTGGAACTTGGGAGATCCTCCTGCCTCTCCTTCCCAACTATTGCACCACCATGCCTGACTAACATATTCTTTAATTTTTTTTTTTCTTTTTTGAGACAGACTTCTCTGTAGCCACACCTAGCCTGAATTTGCTATATAGGCCAGGCTGACCTCAATCTCACAGAGATCTGCCTGCCTCTGCCTCATGAGTACTGGGATTAAAGGTATGTGCCACTATGCCCAGCTTTTCTATATTTTAATGTATATATATATACATGTTTTTTGTATATACATGTGTCTGCCTGGTGTCAGCAGAATCCTGAAAGAAAGCATTGGATGCCCTTGAACTTAACTTACATATGGTTGTGAGCCACCATGTGGATAGTGGGAACCAAACCTGGGTCTTCTGCAAGACAACCAGTGCTCTTAAACCACTGAGTCATCTCTCCAGCCCAACAACAACATAATTATAAGAATAATTGTACTTGAATTTGACTAAGCTCTTGATTTAACTGGCAATTTAATACCAGTAAACAAAAAACATCACTACAAGAGGATGCAATTAGCAGAGTAGCGTAAATCTCTACTCTGAACTTTACATGCCAAGGGGTCTGTCTTTCATGCAAGAAAAGAAAAAGAAAGAGGGGCAGGTTTCTTAGTCTTCTGTGGGAATGGTGGGTCACACAATGGTAGATTTCTACCCTTTTCTAGGCTTTCTGATCTTATTTCTTGTTGAAGTTTAGATTCTTCTGAAGTCAGATCTGGTCACTCAGCCACCACAGAACCCAAAGCTCATCTCTCTTGTTCCTGGCCCCACAGCAGCATGGCAGGAAAGACCGCATCTGTTTTGCACTTAGGGTGCTGCTATACCCACAGAAACAGTTATTACCAAGGGCATCATTGTCATCGGTGGTGTCACTTGCCAGCCGGAAGAGGGTGGGCCGAAGCTTCTCACACCTTTCATACACAACCTGGGGAAACAGAGCCTGAATCACAAACACACCTGGGCCCCCTAACAAGGTCCCAGGTGCCTCCCCTCAGCAGTCTAGGACTGAACCAGTCTCTTTAGGTTGTACCAGATCTATGACAACAGGTCTGAGGTAGTAGTATTGACAGTATTGGAAGGCTGGGGCTGCAGCTCAGTGGTAGAGCAGGCCCGTGCACGGCACCCCAGGTTCAATCCCCAGTACTTACTGCCACAGAAAAAGAGCAACATTTGGACTAGTCAAGAGTGGTGCTGCTTGCCTATTATCTCATCACTGGGGAGGTGGAGGCAGGAGGATCAGGCGTTCAAGGCCAGTCCAAGCCACCTTAAGACCTGATTCCAGGCTGGAGAGATGGCTCAGCGGTTAATAACACTGGTTGTTCTTGCAGAAGACCCAGGTTTGAATCCCAGCACCCACATGGCAGCTAACAACTGTCTGTAACTCCAGTCCCAGGGGATTCGACAGCCTCTTCTGACCTCCACGGTCACTGCATGACATGGGTACACTTACCTACATGCAGGCAATACACGCATACACATAAAATAAAAATGCATAAATAAATTAAAAAAAAAAAAAAAAGACCTTTTCCAATAGTAACAAAAAGGGGTGAGGGGATGGAAAGATGGCTCAGCGGTTAAGAGCACTGACTGTTCTTGCAAGAAGACCTCGGTTCATATCCCACCATCTATAACTCCAGTTCCAGAGGATCCAACACTCTTTTCTGCCTTTACAGGCACTGCACAGCATAAATGCACTTACTTACATGAGTGCACTTACATGCATACATATAATATGCTCATACACACAAAATAAACGTTTTCTTTTATTTGAAAATTTTTTAAAAAAAGCACTGGAGAAGTAGTTCAGGAGATAAAAGTGCTTGCTACCAGGTCTGGCATTCTGAGCTTGGTTCCCAAACCCACTTTTTGGCAAAAGAGAAACAACTTTTACCAAGTTGTCCTTGGACCCCCTCCACACACCCCCCCACACACTGCACCGTGGCATGTGAGCCCCCCCCAACCAAAATAAATAAATGTTAAAAAAAATTAAAAAGAAAAACAAAACAGACTGGGGCTACATGTATGTAATTGCTTTCAAATTAAAAAATTAAAAAAAAAAAAAAAACATAACAAGCAACAATTCCAGATAGGAGATACCTTCTTTTGAGTTGTCGGCCAGGGTGACCAAAGGGACTCCCAAATTGTAACCCAGCACAGAACTGGGAAAATGAACAGCAGACCCCAATCTTATCTAAAGGAATACTGACAACTGAACTGATTGCTGCTAGATGAGGAACAGCTGACCCTCCTAAAACAAAGACCTCTAGATAGGCTGACTAGATTTAACAGAAGGGCAGGTAATGGTGATTTGCTGGGGGTGCCAACAACACAGCAGACAGTAGCAGGGATATCAGAGTATAAGGGCTCTAACGGAGAGGGAAGCTGTGGGAGGGTGCCATCTGGGAAGTGGGTGTATTGTCAAATAAGATGGTTTGGGATGTTCTGTGTGATATATACACACATATACACATACCAAAAAAAATTTTTTTTTAATGTATTATATTTGAGAAGGAAGCATGGAAATTTAAATCATGCTAATTAGTAGAGGTGATAAACATTACCACTGAAATCTACCCAATGACTTCATAGTCATACACAGGTGCCAAGGATCCAAGTGCAACCGATTATGACTAGTAATAATCGGATACATACAGATTAGAGATACATGTGCCAACATCTCAGTGTTAGTAGCAAAAACAATGAGTCTTTTTGCAAAGAACAATATATTCTAAAATGAAATGGAGATCTTTTTTAAAGGTTAAAAAACTTATTCAATTTTATGTCTCACAGGGCTTATACTGAGTTCAATATTGTATAACTGTATTACCTCAACTGTGAACCTAGAAACTTGCACCCACTTGTGAAAGATGTACTCTTGCTCTGGAGTGTGTTACTGAATATGTTAAATCTGGAGTGAAATGCTTCTTCTAATCATGTAGTTATTAAAAATTAAAAGATATAGAGCCGGGCAGAGATCCGCCTGCCTCTGCCTCCCAAGTGCTGGGATTAAAGGCGTGCACCACCATGCCCAGTGAAATGCAGATCTTTTTTAAAGGTTAAAACCTCAACTTTTTGTCTTATAGGGTTTATACTGAGAACAATATTGTATAACTGTAACAATTCAACTGTAAACCTAAAAAATTTACAGCCAATTTTGAAAAAGATGCATCTTAGCTCAGAAAATTGTTATTGAATATGTCAATGCTGTTGTAATGAAATGCTTCTTTTAAGTATGTCGTTATTAAATAAATAATTAACAAAAAAAAACTTCTAAACTTAAAAAAAAAACACCAAAACCAATCTATTTTTTAATATGTAAAAGGGTAGATGTTAGGTGAAAAATGCATATGTAGTGTTAAAACACATTTTAAATAAAAAATATACATTGCAAAAAAAAATACTTATTTTTATTTTATGTGTTTGTGTGTATTGCCTGCATACAGGTAAGGGCACCCGTGTCATGCAATGCCTGAGGAAGACAGAAGAGGCCGTTGGATCCCCTGGGACTGGAGTTACGGACAGTTGTTAGCTGCCATGTGGGTGCTGGGATTTGAACCTGGGTCTTCTGCAAGAACAGCCAGTGTTCTTAACTACTGAGCCATCTCTTCAGCCCCTCAAATAAAAAAATTTTAAAGACCTTAGCCCAGGAAAGAGCTGTTTCCAGTCACAAAGAGCCAACTCTTCCCCAGGCCATTCTCCCTAACCCTGTTGCCATTGAACAATGGAAGAACTTCCCCTGCTTTGCCACTGTGGCCTAAACATCCTGTCCTAACTGTTCTGATAGCTCAATCCCTTTACAACACTTGCCTGATGTTCCACACAGGTTCCCCCAGAACATTCCCTTCCTTCCCTTCCTTCCTTTCCTTCCCTCAACGTCACTTTCCCCACCCCAGGAAGAAAAGAATGCTCTGGATAGCTCAGCAGCTTCATAGTCCCTCCCTCTGCTGCCTGCAGAACTCCCTTGTCCCTTCTTTGGGAGAGGAACAGTTAGGCTGCTGGGACATCAACACCATGACCTACCTTCCTGAGACCCTGGTACAAGGCCTGCCTGGAGTCCAGCAACGTTAAGTCTTGTGCCCTGGGCCCACAGCAAGGGCACTGTGACCTTCTGCATTCCCTCCACCTCAATAAGGCCTAAGGGAGCCAGGGCACATACATGGCCACATTGAGAGAGAATTGGGTAAGATTCTATCAAGTTCCTGCCAATCTTGTGAACTGGAAGGACAGGCAAACAAAGGAGTTAAGAAAAGGCCACCTCTCCTGTAGAGAAAGCAGGAATAGAGAAGGCTGAGGTGACCTGCAGTGAGGTGAAATCAGAGCTCCAGAGAGAGAGTAAGAGCCACAGGCCAGGGCCACACTGCTACCCAAATGCCAGCTGATGGTGTCCTCTACAGACAACAAATACACTGCATGTACTGAAACTGGGGAGACAGCCCAGTCAGTGGAGTGTTTGCCACAATCATGAGGATGGAGTTAGAGCCCCAGAAACCATGTAAAAAAGCCAGATATGGGGGCTGGAAGGATGGTTCAGCAGCTCAAAGTGCTTACTACTCTTTCAGAGGACCTGAGTTTGGTTCCCTACACCCATGTTGAGCATATCTTAACTGCCTGTTACTCCAGCTGCAGAGGATCTGAGGTCTCCGGCCTCCACTAACATCTACACTCATGTGCACATATCCCCAGAGATACACATGCAAACACGTAATTTTTTAAAAAAATCTTAACAGAGGCCAGGCATGGTGGCACATGCCTTTAATCCCAGCACTGGGAGGCAGAGGCAAGCGGATCTCTGTGAGTTCCAGGCCAGCCTGGTCTGCATAGTGAGTTCCAAGCCAGCTGAGGCTACAAGGAGACCCTGTCTCAAAACACAACCAAGGTGAATAGCACCACAAGAGTAACACCTAAGATTGGCCTCCAGCCCCCACATGCACACATGTGTACCCACACACATAGGAGCATGTTTGTAAAAACACAAATTTTGTGCCTTAAAAGAAGCTATCAGCTGGACGTGGTGGCGCATGCCTTTAGTCCCAGCGCTTCAGAGGCAGAGGCAAGCAGATCTCTGTGAATTCCTGGCCAGTTGGGGCTGCAGGGAGACCCTGTTTCAAAAAGACCAAAAAACAAAAGAACAAAAAAAGAAGCTATCAATGCCAGGAGTAGTAGCTCATGCCTTCAGTTCCAGCACTTGGAAGACACAGAGGCAGTCATATCACTGTGAGCTTGAGGCCAGCCTGATCTACACAGGGAGTTCCAGACCAGTCAAGTCTGCATAGTGAGACCCTGTCTCAAAAAAACCACAACAGCCTGGTATGGTGGCACACGCTGTAGTCCCAGCACTTGGGAGGCAGAGGCTGGCGGATCTCTATGAGTTCAAGGCCAGCCTGGTCTACATAGTGAATTCCAGGACAGCTTGGGCTACAGGGAGACCCTGTCTCAAAAAGACCAAAAAAAACCCCCACAACAACAAAAAATTATCAAGCCAGTGGAAACACAGCCTAGAATGGAAAAAAAAAAAAAAAAAAAAAAGAAAGAAAGAAACTTGTATCTGGAACATATATAGAAAAACTTTGTAACTCAAAAATAAAAACCTAATTCATAGATGGACAAGGGATTTTTGAGCAGCTATTTCTCTATAAAGAGACCCAAAAGGTCACTAAGCACATGAAAGAATGTGAAGCAGGCCATTAGGAAAACGGAAAGCCACAGGAGACAGACATGACATCAAGGACAGTTGTCACAGAGAGACATACGATAGCAAATGTTGACACCATTTTAGAGCTAGAATCCTTGCCAGCTGCTGGTGGGTTGTAAACTGGAACTTTGAAAATAGCCACCATATAAGCCAGTCTTTCCACTCCTAAATGTATACTCAAGAGAATTTAAAACTTAGGTTCAGGGGCTAGAGAGATGGCTCAGCAGTTAAGAGCACTGGCTGTTCTTACAGAAGACCCAGGTTCGAATCACAGCACTCACATGGCAGCTAATAACCAACCAGAACTCCAGTTCTGGGGGATCCAACACCTTCTTCTGTCCTTTGAGGGCACTGTACAACATGGGTACACTTAAACACATGCAGGCATAATACTCATACACTTATAAATTTAAAAAAAAAAGAAAAAAAAAAATCTTGGGGCTGGAGAGATGGCTCAGCAGTTAAGAACACTGACTGACCTTACAGAAGACGGGGGTTTGAATCCCAGCACCCACATGGCAGCTAACAACTGTCCATTACTCCAGTTTCAGGGGATTCGACAGCCTCTTCTGTCCTCCGCAGGCATTGTGGGACACAGGTGCACTTACCTACATGCAGACATAACACTCATACACATAAAATAAAATAATAAATATAAAAAAATCTTAACAGAAGCTGGGCATGGTGGCACATGCCTTTAATCCCAGCACTCAGGAGGTAGAAGCAGGCAGAGTTCAAGGCCAGCCTGGTCTACACAGTGAGCTCCAGGACAACTACATAATGAGTTCCAGGGGCTACAGGGAGACCCTCTCTCAAAAAGATAAAAAAAAAAGTTTAACAGTTTCATTCTATTTATAGAGGAGAAGGTAAATAGTAAACCGTTAGCTAATGGGATGGGGGGGTGGAGGTGAGGGAGTGTCAGGAAAGAAAAGAAGAATGTAAAGGAACACAAGAAATGTGGGATGAGAACCATGGTTACTATCCTGACCACGGTGGCGGCTGTGGGAACACATACATAGAGATCCATCAAGCTGGTAATGAAGCACGGTCTCTGCTAGATGGTTACCTGCAGGGCCTCCTGGTCAGGTGGGGCCTGGCCAGGCCTGCGGTACAAGCTCAACATCTCCTGCAGCACCTTCACGTGGCTTCGCACTTCCTCTACTGCACTGACTCGCTTGGACACCTTCTCGGATTTTTCTTGTTCCTTTGGGGGAAAAGAAGAGGCTGGAAGTAAGGATGATGCCTGGATAACTCTCAAAAAAGATACTGTGAGTTCAGGAAGTCATACCCACTAGGGGTGCTCTCCCAGAATTCCTGGGAAGCACAATGCAGCGTGGGGGCCTGGTGACCTCTTCTATTGTACACCTTGTCTCAGTCCTACTGGAAAAACAAACTCTAGCACCTAGACCCTGTCCACACCAGCATTTTTCACTGGGACAGAATATTCCCAAGTGATTTTTTTGCCTTGGACAAAAGCAGCTGAGAAGCACAAGAGAACTGTGACAGCTGTCCCCATTCAGGGTGAGAAGACCATCCCTTCTTGCAGCCAGTTGCCCACACCTCATACCCTTGAACATATCCATATACATTGTCCATCAGCCCTGTCAAATGCTGGGCGTATAGAACCACGGGAAAGTGCCCACCTCCTTGACCAAATTCTTGATCAGCCGGTTTGCGGCCTGAAGGTCCTCAGGGTGGTTGCTCTTCAGAAGTCTTGTCAGAAGCTAAAGAGTGAAGGAGAGCAGATGAAGCTGTAATTCCCTCTGGCCCAGAGTGGGAGCACAATAGAAGAATTCACATATAAAACAGCCCACACTGTATGCACCTTACCAAAGCATACAGTAACACTGGAATGTAAGTACTGGGGCTTTTAAAAGACTGCTGGGTTTCTCGTGGGATGGGAGATGGAGGATTACATCCCCTAGAGGACATGGCAAAATCTGGAGACATTTCAGATGCCACAAAGGGATGAAGAAAAGGGATTAGTTGTATCTAGTAGGTAGAAGCCAGAGATGTTGAAAGATCCTTCAGAGCACACAGGCTCTGCAGTAGAGAATTACCTAGCTCAAAGGGCCAAGAGTGGGGCTGGGAGTGTTCCTCAGTTATAAGAGCATACACAAAGCCCCGGGTTCCATTCCCAGCAATGCAAAAAATAAATGTAGATGAATAAACGTCAACAGTACTGAAATGGCAGAGAGTGGTGGCACACGCCTTTAAACCCAGCAAGAGGCAGAAGCAGGCAGATCTCTGTGAGTTTGAATGAATGAATGAATGAATGAATGAATCAATCAATCAATCAATCGATCAATCAATCAATCAATCAATCAATAAAAAGAGTACTGAGGATGGCCTGGGCCAAGATGGCACAGACTTTAATGATCCTGTTTCTCACTTAATTCCAAAGCCTAGTGGGATGCCTAGCAAACAAGAATCCCTGAAAGTGAGTTAGAGAGTGTGATGGCTATTCTTCAGTGCCAACCTGACTGTAACTAGAATCACTGAGGAGATACACCTCTGGTTGAGTCTTTGAGGGCATTACCATAAGTTAACTGAGGAGGGGAGGCCCACCCAGAATGTGGGTAGTACCATCCCATGGGCTAGAGTCCCAGGCTGAATAAAAAGGGAACCAGCATTTGTTTCTCTCTGCTTCCTGATGGCAGACCAGCTTCCTCAATGCTCCTGCACCATGACTTCCCCCATAGGATGCACTGTACCCTCACACTGTGATCCAAAATAAATCCTTCTTTCCTTATATTATGTCGGGTTATTTTGCCACAGCAAAGAGAAACATAACTAACACACAGACAGGTCAGGGAGAATCCTTCCACCTTTCTTGGCAGTCATTTTACCATCTCTCCCTTGCTCCCCTATACACTGCAACACAAGGCACCAGTAGGAAAGGACCATGGAGAGATGCAGCTCACACAGTTCATTCTGCCAACACTGACTGGAAAACCACTCAGCATCTAGAACTAAAAAAGGGCATGGAAACTGGCACGCTGGTAATGAAAGCACTTGGGAGTATTAGGTAGAAGACTGGAAGTTCACAGTCTCAGCACATATTAAGTTTGAAGCCAACCCAAGCTGGGTGAGGTGGCACAGGCCCTCAGTCCCAGCACTTGGGGAGGTAGAGGCAGGACCTCTCTGAGCAGACCAGGATCTCTCTATGCAGACCAGGCTGTCCAGGTCTACATAGCAAGTTTCAGGCCAATAAGGCTACATAGTGAGACACAGTCTCAAAAAACAAACAACAAAATCCAAAAAAATAAACAAATAAAACAAACAAATAGGGCTGGAGAGAGGGCTCAGCAACACCCACACAATGGCTAACAAATTCTGTAACTCCAGTTCCAAAGGGATCTGGTGTCCTCTTCTGGCATTCCCAGGCACCAGGCACAACACATGGGGTACATACATGCAGGCAAAACTTTTTGTTTCTTTGCTTTTGGTTTTTTGAGACAGGATCTCCCTGAAGACGCAGCTGGCCTGGAACTTACTATATAAACCAGGCTGACCTAGATCTACAGGTATCTGCTTACCTTGGGACTAAAAGCATTTACCAGCAAACAGAAAAACCAACCTGGGAGTGGTGGTGCAGGCCTGTAACCCCAGCACCTGGGAAGTGGAGACAGGAGGATCAGGAATTCAAAGACAGCCTGGGCTATAAGGAACCTTATCTAAAAATGGAAACAAAACCGAAGGGCGTGGTGGCACACTCCTTTAATCCCAGCTCTTGGGAGGCAGAGGCAGGTGGATCTCTGTGAGTTCAAAGGTCAGCCTGGTCTACATGAGTTCCAGGACAGTTGGGGTTACAGGGAGACCCTGTCTCAGAAAGACCAAAAAAAAAAGGAAACAAAACCATAAACTCCGTAAAACAAAATAAACATAAGGGTAAGGCTGAGAAGGGGCAGAGCCTCCAAAAATGTGTACATGCATGAAGCCCTCCCGATTCTATGCCTACCAAAAAGCACTGAATGACCAACGTCAACAACTCATGTGAAAGGACATCCATGGACCCTAGAGCCTCTAGGATTTAAGTACCTTCTACTTTCCTTAATGATGTGTGAGGACCAAAAACCCTGGGGGTCTCCAGAAGGACAAAGGCAAGATCCATGACATTAAGAGTCCGGTCCTATCTGTCACACCCTCCCTAGTTCCATATGCACTGAACCGGATCCATCAGTCCCACACTCCAAACTCCCTTTGAGTTTTCCTTGAGCCCCCCTTCCCCCCAACAACAGTTATACAGATAAGGTGCAGGACATGACATTATTATGTGGTCCACCCATGGAAACATCCATTCTTTACTCCACCTTCACACACTCGCTTTAGACACCAGAGGACAGTCACAGAGGTCAGGAAGGAGTTACCTTTGACTTTTCCTCATCAGCATCAAAGATGGAGCTCTTTGGCCAGGGAGAAGGTGGGGGTAAGATTTTATCCATTGGTAGCTTAGGATCTTGCTTTATGATCCCTAAAATATGCAATTCATGAAGTTAAAGCATCAGTATTGGAAGGATCCAGAATAAAGTTCACAAACCTGATTCCTAACAACCTGATACCATGTTAAGCAGCTAGTCAGACATTAGCAGACTTGGGTAATCCCTGACAATGGGCCCTGCCCTTCCTAGTTAGCTTTGGACCCTACCTCCCATTTCCCTTGTGCGCACATATGAAGGTGAGAGGACAGCTTGTGGGAGTAGGTTCTTAACTAACTCACATCATCAGGCTTGATGGCAAGCACCTGTTCCCACAGCCGTCTCAATGGCCAATACTGTAAGAAAAACAATCATGGGGGCTAAAGAGTTGGCTCAATGGTTAAGAACACTGGTTGTTTCTACAGAGGACCCAGGTTTGGTTCCCAGCACCCACATAGCAGCTAACAACAACCTATAACTCCAGTTCCAGGGAATCCTGTGGAAACGACTTTTATAAATGGACATAATCTGGACTAATGACTTTTAATTAACCCCAGCAAAACCATGTCACTGTGTCCTGAGTGCTAGGATTACAGCTGGCCACCACACTTGTCCAACTTTTATGTGGGTTCTTGGAATATGAACTCTGGTCTTCATGTTTGCACAGCAAGTACTTTATCCACTGGGCTATCTTCCCAGCCCCTGAGATCTAATTTAAAATACCTTTCCCAGGTGTAGGCCCACATGTGTGCATACCCTAGAAAGCCAGAGGAAGACACTAAATATATTGGTCTATCACTCTCTACCTTCTTTTTTAAATTTCATTTTATTGTTTTTTAGTTAGGTATACGTGTGTGTGTCTGTCTGTGCACATGAGTATAGTGCCCAGAGGCCAGAAGAACCAAATCCTCTGGAGCTGGAGTTACAGGCAGTTGTAAGCCACCTGATATGGGTGCTGGGAACTGAACTCACAACCTCTGTGATCTTAACTGCTCAGTCACTTCTTTAGCCCCAGCTTTATTCTCTTACAACAAAGTCCTAGAGGTCAGGCACAGTGGTATTCACCTTTAATACCAGCACTCAGAAGGCAGACGCAGACAGATCTCTTTGAGACGGAGGCCAGTCTGGTCTACCTAGTGAGTTCCAGGAGAGCTGGGGCTACAGGGAGACTCTGTCTCAAAAGACAAGGTCTTAAGCCAGGTGTGGTGGTACATGCCTTTACTCCCAGTACTGGGAGACAGAGGCAGGTGGATTTCTGTGAGTTCAGGGCCAGTCTGGCCTACAGAGTGAATTCTAGGCCAGCTGGGGTTACAAGGAGACTCTGTCTCAAAAAGACAAAAAAATAAAAAATAAAGACAAGGTCTCTCACTTAACTTGGAGCTAGGCTGGGAGTCAGCAAACCTGCCTCCACCCTCTACAGTACTGCACACATGGCCAAGCCCAGCTTTTTACATGGGCACTAGAGATTCCTCATGCTTGCAAGCCACACACTCTTATCTGACCTACCTCCCCAGTCCCTTTCCCCTCTGCTATCATCTTAGGAATTCAAGGAACTGCCACAAAACCAGAGACATCAGAGCAGACCTGTCCCCAAGGGCTGTACTCTACAGTCTAAGGCAGGTATATAACCTCCAGCCTCTAGAGATGACTATGTGGCCTCTGATATAGCTCCCTGAAAAGACTATGAGTGCATGCAACAAGGGAAAACAGCAGTGCTGAGCCCATTCCTTCTTCTAAAGAGCCTGACATGAAAGGAAGCCAAGGACCAGACAGGACACACAGAAGCAGGAGGGTGTAAACCCCGAACACTGACAAAACCAAGACACCACCAGGCACTTGCACTTTAACAACTTTTCCTGAAGCAACAGATCAACAACCAATTAGCCTGAAATCTAAGAAAAGACAGTGCCAACAAGGAGGAGTGGGAGGCAAGTCTGTAATAACACAGTTACTGGGCATGTCCCAGCATTTGGAGGCAGAGGCAGGAGAATCATCAGTTCAAGGCCAGCTTGAGCTACATATGTATGTATGTATGTATGTATGTATGTGTATATATATTTTTTTATATATATATTTTATTTTTTATTTTATATGTATGAGTGTATTGCCTGCATGTGTGTAAGTGCACCCATGTCACGCAATGCCGCAGGTCAGAAGAGGGTGTCAGATTCCCCTGGAACTGAAGTTAAGGATGGCTCTTGGCTGCCATGTGGGTCTTCTCCAAGAAGTCAGTGCTCTTAACCACCAAGCCATCTCTCCAGTCCCACATATGTGTATTTTTTAAAATGTATTTATTTACTTAAGGGAGGGAAGGGGCACACATGTGCCATGGCTCACATGTGGAGGCGAGGGGACAACTTGTGACAGCTGGTTCTCTCCTTCCACCATGTGTTCCAAAAATGGAACTCAGATTGTGAGGCTTAGTAGCAAGCACCTGTATCCACTGGGCCATTTTGCTGACCCTAGCCTGAGCTATAAAGGAGAAGCTCCAGTGGTAGAATACTGTATCACATGCATGAAACCCTGGGCTCAATCACCAGCACTGCATTAAAAAAAAGTGGTGGCACATGGTAGGTGGAGGCAGGAGGTTCAAGGTTGCACTCAGATACACAGTGCGTTCCAGACCAGGCTGGGCTACATGTGACCCTGCCCTACAAAACAAAACTATGGAAAAAGGGAAATCTGACGTGAATGATGACAGTCAAACCTTGTTTCTTCAGCATTTGATAAGCATCTCGGATTTTGATGTCTTCTGGAAACCAGACTGTCCAACTAAAGAGGATTTCGATGACTCTTCCTTTAACTTTCTCTGTAACCCAGGTCCCCAGGTACTACAAATGAAAAGGAGAATTATAGAGCTATAAGACTTTAACCACCTGGCCAACACTTCCACTAAAGATGTTCCTGGGTCCCAAAGTGAACTGTCCTAGCAGACGGAGAAGACACACCTAGAGGCCAAATTCACTGGCACACAATTGCAGAGCCTGTCTAGCTTTCAAGAAACCAGTCTCCACCACTAAAATTAAAGCTCGCCACACAGGTGAGTAGAGTGCCTTAATGCCTGTAATCCTAGTAGCTGGGAGACCAAGGCAGGAGGATTGCCACAAATTTGAGGCCAGCCTGGGCTACATGGTGAAAGCCTGTCTTAAATAACCAAAATAATGCTAGGCATGATGGCACACACCTTTAGTCCCACCACCCGGGAGGCAGAGACAGGTAATCTTTGAGTTCCAGGCCAGTCAGGGTTAAACAGTGAGACCCAGTCTCCAAAACACAAACAAAACAAAACACACCCCAAAAGCTCGGCATGCCTTTAATCCCAGCAGAGGTAGAGGCAGGCGAGGTCAGCCTGGTCTACAGGGTGAGTTCCAGGCCAGATGGGGCTTCAGGGAGACCCTGTCTCAAAAAACAAAAACAAAAACAAAAACCACATCCAACAAAAACAAACAAAACAAATCCCCAAACCAAAGGGATACAGTGGGAGGGCATACAGTGCCTTTCCCCACACCAAACCCTGGGTCATTTCCATTTGAATCCTTTGTAAAAGGGCAGCAATACATTCTTTCCTGTGTTCTAGAGAGCAAGGGTTATGAAAACCACCAAGTGGTAGTCCAAAGTGCCAAAGCACAGTACCTTGAAGACACCCAAAGCTTGGGATTGGCACTTGAAATGGGTAGGCAAGGCAGGACAGAGCTCTTCATGTGAAGGTATAAGAAGTATTTAAGACCAGGTAGGGTCAGAATTCACCTGAATTGTAGGACACACCAGGTGTCAGAGAACTGTGGCTGGTTCCATGCAAGCAAGAGTCAATCAACACTGGTTGCATGTGAGTAACAACTAAGACAGGTGTCAGGAGGAAAGTTACAGGGACAAGGCAAGAAGCCAAATGAAGTTCAACAGTCACACCTGCCTACCACTCTGTTATCTCTGCCAGGAAACCCAGCGTCCTGCTAGAGCCCCTCACCTCCTATAGGCCAACAGGTCATGCCATTTTCAACGTGAAAATGGAAATGCTACAACTAGAGGTCTGAGGTTAGCCAATGAGCATGGCTGCCCTTCCAGACCTTCGAGAGGAGACAGTTTTGCATGCTAGACTTCTGCTCCTGGCAGAGGGGCAGGCACTGTCTATGTACAGACCTAAGTCTGGTCTGCAGAGTGACAAGTTTGAAGGTGGGACACAGGTGCAGTACAGTGGCAGGCCAAGTCCAGGTACTCACCTTTGGCGACAATACTTTGATCAGCTCATTCAGGAAGCGGAACTTGGCCACTTCACTGTGGAACTTCTCCCCACAGTGGTTCATGCACATCTCTAGCACCTGCAGACACAGGATCCCCACAAGAGAAAGCCAGTGACTCGGGGCTCTCGAGGTTTGTGGGCATCTACTAGTGAAATCACAGCTAACCCTTCCTCAAGTTCTTTCTCAAGATCCCTGATGTTTGCGAAAGAAAACATCTCCAGATCAAGAAAATCTTGTTGGGTTGAGTGTAGCTTAGCTGGTATTCGTGACTAGCATGCTCAAAGCCCTGTGTTCCATTCCCAGCATGGTATAAACTGGGTGTGCACACCTGTAACTGCAGCACTTAAGTGGAGGCAGGAAGATAAGATGTTCAAGACCATCTTCAGTTATATTAAGTTCAAATTCAGCCTGAGTTACAGAGATCCTGTATCAAACAACAAAACCAAAACACAATGTCACCTGTTCAGAAGTGCCATGTCTGCATCCAAAAGTAGCTCAGTGGGGTGTTAAGATAACTCCTGAGCAGATTTTCACCCAAGAACTCATCCCATCATCCCAGCACTCAAAGACAAGCTGGGACTGCACTCGTTACCTGAGTCATTACTGTTTCTCAACATGTCAAATGAACCATTTTTATTTTCAAGACAGAGGCTTCATTACATGGCCCTGGCTGGCTTAGACCTCCCTATGTAGTCCAGGCTAGCCTCAAACTTCTGGCAATCTTCCTGCTTCTGGAAGCTCTAGAATGCTGCAATTACAGGTCTATACCATCAATTACAGGTACAATTACCAACTTTTTAGAGATGGGATCTTGCTATAAAACCCAGGCTGGCTGTTATGTAGCCATTTCCTGAGATAAGACATTCCATTTTGGAGGCCAGTTCTTTAACATGCAGAATGGTAATTAAAAGGGAGGTAAAACAACAGGCTCTTCAAGGGGAGGTGAGACATTTCATCTGACAAAGAAGCCCATTATGTTCAGGAAGGAAACAACTGAAAAGCTTTAAGAAGTTCCTAAAACTGACCAGTTAGCACTACCCTCTTCCCTCTCCAAGCATATTATGTGCCCTAAGGACTGCTGAGAGATTGAGAATAGCAGAGATAAGATGCTCTCCCACCTGCTGAGCAGGTGTGCAGTGAAGTAAACTCCAGGTTTCCATCTTTCATGAGCTTTTCACCCATGCTATGTAGCTTTTAGTGATATAGCTGTCTTTGAGTCATTTCTGCTCCTGTAAGTAACTCTTTACCCATATTAAGTAATTCCAATAAAACTGACTTAAGCTTTTCTGTGTGTGTGTGTGTGTGTGTGTGTGTGTGTGTGTGTGTGTGAAGAGTTTCCATCAACATCTACATATTCAGAGGATTTATATTACAATCTGGACTTCTAGTTTCTTTTGAGAAAGTAAAAATTCTAGCAACATTGAGCCTAAATCCAGGCCAGCACCCATGAACGAGTCCTGCACTGTAGCTCCCTTGTATACACAAAGCACACACTCTCCTGCCCTGTCTTTCATTTGTGTTACTGCTGTCATTTGCCAGTCCTAATCCAAGGGGGCAAATGGAAATAATCCCTTCCTTTGCTTCTCCCAAAGAAAGCTCACCATCTTAGGGAAACATATCTGAAATGGGCACTGAGGCCCTGAACTCCCTCCAGCCTGCTGTCAAGGTCTGGAAAGGAGAACCTGTCTGATGCCCTCAGTGCTCTTTCTAGAGTTGAGATTGGAAAGCACAGGCTGTGGAGCCAGCCAAACTCACCGTCAAGGCATAAAGAGCTTCCTTCTCTTGTGGAGACTGAATCTTGTGGGCCAGTAGCCAGGGTGCATGTGTTGGGCTAAGGGGGGAAAAAAAAAAGACCTAGCAGTCTAGCAGAGTACTGTTGCCCAAGCTACCTCTCTTCCAGGATGCTGTCCCAAGGCAGAGGAGGAATGTACCTGGCAGAGCTCAGGCACAAGCCCCTGAAGGATGGACACCTCCACCTCTGCCATACCTGAGGTCAGCTTCTGCCCTAGCCTTCCCTTGGTCACCCACAGAGCTGCCCACCGATCCTGTGACAACTACTTAGTGAACACTAGAGCAGGAAGAGGGATACCCTTTGGGCACACTCAGAAACAGCTGACCATTTAGCACCATGTAGCTCTAACATCTGGACGAATGACTACTGTTTACTTCTTATTCAGGGATTTGGGAAATAAATTCAATAAAATCATACTCTGGGGTGGAGATGTGGCTCATTGGTAGAATACATGCTTAGCAGGAGGCCCTGAGTCCAATCCCCACCACTGCAAATAAAATAAAGCCTTGCCCTTTTTCTGCTTTCTCCTATATAAGACTTCATTTAAATTATGACAAATACATTAATGTTTCAATCATTACAAAACCTACCTCAGTTTGTTTCATAACAAAATTTTTAAAACTCTTAGTAAAAGAAAAAAAGCAATAGTTGTAAAACAATTATTGTTTTTAATCCATAACCAATTCGCTTAGACTGTGGAAGGAAAAAAGAATAAAAGAGCTCCCAACTGCAGCTCCTCAGAACCAAGGGTCTGAGTTCAGCCTAGGCGCCCTCAGAGTCAAGTGCGTCAGAGAATGACCTTACCCATTGGGGTCCGTGTTCACCTGCTCACAGAAATTCTGGACGGCTGACCAATCCTGCTCTGACATGCTTGGGTCTGTGGCTTTGTCTGTAAGGAAACCAGCAATAAAGTTAAACAAAGAGTAACAAAAGAAATTTATGCCTTCCACACAAACTTGGAAACCCAGGGCTGTGAAGTCACAGCTCTAGGGGTCAGTCAGATCAGCGGACAGATAGCCGAAAAGGGCAGGGTCCATGTATGTGTTGTTCACTACAGTCAAGAACCATATGGAGGAGACAGTATGTCCTTACTGAAGATACACTGGATGCATGAGTGAGAAAATTAACTCACAAGTGACGGCCCTGTTTACAGGGCAAAGATTGGTCTGTGTGTGGCTTTACGAGCAGGTCAGGAACCCCCAGCTAGCCCTGCAATGTAGTAGGCATGGGCTAGCATCTGGGAGGCTGTCAGTTTCTTAGCTACATGACAGAAAGACAACAGCCTTCCATATTAGACTGTCTTGGTCCCCACCTGCCCTACGACATCCTTGACTGAGCTGTCTACCTTGTCCTGGCCTGCGTCTCAGAGTAGGAGAGGAGAGGCTGATTCTGAGTTGAATCTTGGTATTATTCCTTTTGCCTAGAGGTCCTCTCCTTTCCTCTCAAAAGCCCACTTTCAAGACTCATCAAAGGGCCAGTGAGAAGGCTCAGCAAGTAAGTAAAGGCACTAGCCCCCAAGTCTGACGACTTCAGTTTAATCCAATGGTAGAATAAACAAACTGACTCCAGCAAGTTGTCCTCTGACCTCTACACGTGTACTAAGGTGTGCATCCGTGTACAAACACACACAAATAAAATGTAATAATAAAAAAAGACTCGGGGCTGGAGAGATGGCTCAACGGTTAAGAGCACTGACTGCTTGCAGAGGAACTGGGTTCAATTCCCAGCACCCACATGGCAGCTACAAACTGTCCTTAACTCCAGTTAAGGAGTTAAGGAATCTGAAGCCCTCTTCTGACCTCCATGGCACTGCACAACACGGGTGTGCACTCACATACATACAGCCAATACACTCATACACATAAAATAAAAATAATAAATAAAATATTTTTTAAAAAACTCATTAGAATTGTCTCCAGAAACATACCCCCCACCACCACGGCTCCAGCAGCAAATCCCCTCCCTTAGAATTAGTCAGTGTCCCATCAGCAACTCAAATAACTGTTTCCTAATGAAGTCACATTCACATCATGTGGAAGTCATGTAAGAGTCAAAGGGCTTATCTATGGACTCCATTCTAAATACAGAAAGAATGTGACTGTCAGCTCCCTCACCCCAATCCTATCTGCCAATCAGATCATAATTCAAACACCCTTCCATAAAGACTTCCTTGAGGGATGGGGATGTAACTAAGGGATACAGTCCTTGCCTAGTGTACGTGAGGCCCTGGTTCCAACTCTCGTATCATAAAAATAAAATTAAAAGAAAAAGAGACTTCCCTGATCTTTTTGTCTCGCACCACACAAAACAGATGCTCCACATGTGGTTTCCTTTTTTAACAGAGTCCCGATATTTTGCCTGGGCTGGTCTCCAACTCCCCAGGTGTAGGTACACACTATGCCTGACTATAACACTGGCATTTTAATGCTCCCCTATCATCACTTCATGGTGGGAATATCTAGTTCTATCCTAATTTATCACAGGCATCAATTAATGTCCTTGAACTCTCTGAACCTCAGCTTCAATGATAAAATAAGGAACAGAGTATCTTCCTCATGGGACTGTCATATGACTTGAGTAGCCAGTGTTGCATGTTTAAAGTGCCAGCACAGAAGTAATCACAAAAGCATAGCTTACACTTTTATTTTAATGGTCTCTGCCTTTTCCTGTAAACATTGTACATATGCCTTATTGTACCTAACAGGAATATATGACAGAAGCCACATATTCCTACAGAGCTTAGCACAATGCCTTCCACACAGGTGCAAAACTTAGATGCTCCCTGAATTCCCATAAGGGTACATGTCAATAACCCTACACTTCAAAATTTCTAAGTGAAAGGTGGGTGTAGTGGTGTACACCTTTAATCCTAGCACTTGGATCTCAGTGAGACTGAGGCCAGCCTGGTCTACATAGTGAGTTCCAGGCCAGTTGGAGCTGCAGAAAGATCCTGTCTAGTGGGGTGTGGTAGCCCACACCTTTAGTCCCTGAGGGGGTCTCCCCCTCTCTTCGCGGGTCGTTGGCCACCGGTCCACGAGGGCAGGGGGAGCAGAAGCGACGAATGGGGTCAGGACGGCCAGTGAGCACTGACGGAAGAAAGCCCTTCCGGGGAGGCTGGTCCCAGGCACAGTGAAACAGCTCCAGACACAGTGAAACAGCTCCGTTTATTCAGTGGGAGAACTAGAGAAATTATAGTGTGGAGGCAGTAGCCAAAGCCTCAGCTGATAGGTGCTCATAGTATGCTTTATTTACATGTGGCAGTGGGCTCCTATCACATAAGAAACACCTTGGGGTAGTTTTACTCCAGGTAACTATGCCAAAGGTCATGTTCCAAATAAGGTCAGGCATCCGTGCTTGGTGGCACTTTCCAGGTAAGCCAGGAAGAGAGCAGGAGGCCCCCTGCTGAAAAGGGGCTATCCGGACATGGAGAACTACAACCCTAACAGCAGGGTTTCCCAACAAGTCCCAAGCAAGAACTTGGGAGGCAGAGGCAGGTGGATCTCTGGTCTTCATGATGAGTGCCAGGACAGCTGGGTCTACAGGGAGACCCTGTAGGTAGGTAGGTAGGTAGGTAGGTAGGAAGGAAGGAAGGAAGGAAGGAAGGAAGGAAGGAAGGAAGGAAGGGTCCTGTCTCAAAAAAAATAAAACAAAAAGAATTTTACAAGTTGGGGCTAGCGAGAAGGCTCAGCAGATAAGGATGACTGCTGCCAAACATCCCTGAGCCCACCAGGTGCAGGGAGAAAATTAACCCCAGCACACACTTGTGCATGTTTCTCTCTCTCTCTCTCTCTCTCTCTCTCTCTCTCTCTCACACACACACACACACACACACACACAAAATGTAATAAAAATTTTTTAATGTAAAGCAAATTATTTTAGGTAAGGACCATCCCTATTCAAATCAGTGATTCTCAGACTCAGTATCTTAATCATCTAAGAGTGATTTGCCATTTAAGCTTCAGTTTCAAGGTACAACAAGGTCAATGTTGACACTGCAAAGGAATTCAGACCTGGAGGCAGAGGAGTAGGTAGAGTAGGTAGAGACTGCAGAATTCAGAATTCAGCCTTCCCCATTCTTCCCTGCAAAGGGGGCCAGGCAAATAAAGGAAACATAACCTCAACAGACACCCATTTTTTCAAAGTTAGAAATCTCTGAGGTTTCTAACAAGACAAAGTACTAAAGGTTCTTCAAGATGTAGGATAGTTTCTTTTCTATCTGCTAAAAAGTAGAGGTGGACTTGCTTAAGGTTTACTATGGTCCCCAAATAAGTAATAGTAGTGGCTGTCACTTTTTTTAAAAAAAAAGGTCTCCCTGTAGCCCCAGCTGGCCTGGAACTCACTATGTAGACCCAGCTAGCCTTAATCTCATAGAGAGCTGCCTGCCTCTGCCTCCCTAAATGCTGGGATTAAAGGTGTATACCACACCCGGCAATTTTTTCTTTATCTATTTGCCTTTTGAGCAGGGTACTATGCCAGATGTCCTCAGGACAGCTGGCATCAGTGTTATCGTGTCACCCCTCACCAGCTGAGAAAATGGGCCCAGGCACAAAGCAAAAAATGGTAGAAACAAATATTTGGTCCCAGCTCAGCCTTGGCTCCAAGTCCTTGGGTTGAGGTTTTTGTTTGTTTATTTTTGAAACAAGGTCTCCCTGTAACCCTAGTTGGCCTGGAACTTGCTAGGTAGACCAGGCTGGCCTTGGTCTTAGAGATCTACCTGTTTCTGACTCCCATTGCTGGGATTAAAAACATGCACCACCAAGACTAGCCCTGGGGTTTGGATCCCTGACAAAGGTAGAGCAAGAGGAATTTGATTTTCTTTCCAGAAGTTACACACGCCCTCAAGGCAGGAAGGTGAGTCTTAACTCTACCTGCTTCAGCACTAGAACATCACTGGCAGACACCCACTGAATGAAAAGGTCCTGTTGGGCTGTGCAGAGCTGGGCAGCTGGGCTCAGGAGGTGGCTATTTCAGTTCTGAAATACCCAACACATAATCCCAGCCTGCCCAAGCTATTTCAGAGGTCTCAAGCAACTAAAGAGAAAATGATCCCAGAGGACACAGCAACTGGGTCTGACAAAACTAACAGCAGCTGCCCACATCTGACACAAATCTGACCCAAGGTGGAGCTAGGGGGCCAGAAGGGCCCAGTTAGCAAAGGATTCCTTCTTTGTTCTGTGACTTACACAGTCCTCAGGGCACTGAGAATGGCCATCCAGTCTCAAAGGTGGTTTACTGAGGATGGCTTGGAACAGAAAAAGGGATTCTAAGAGATAACACTATTGTCATACATCTGCTTAATAACAACTGCTCCTGTGATTGGCTGCAAGCCTGTTCCTGTTCTGTTCTGGGCCAGAGGTATTAAGAAAGCAGCTGAGACTCCAGCGGTGAGTGAAATGGCTCATCCTGGCATGACTGAGAAGCCAAATCATCTTAACTAGCTACCAAGCAACCGCGAGGGTCATGACTCTGACAATAGCAACAGTGTGTGCTGGCAAGTGGAGCCTGCAGCCTGAGTAGTCACCTTGGGAGCCCAACTAAACCTTCCAGCAGTGCATACTGCATAAGGAAATCTTTTCCGAGAGCTATAACCAAGGACCCTACAGCCCGAAGGAATGTTGTCAAGCCTGAGGAGAGTGAGCTCAGCTCTGGAGAAGCTAATAACAAATAGGCTGCAATCCAAAGACTCGGGGGAGGAATAAAAGGAGCTGGAAGGGAGCAGGGATGCATCACCTGGAAGCAGGTTCAGGCAGAAGGAAGAACGGGATCCACTTTACTCTCAATGTTCACTGTACTACTGCCTCCCTGGCAGCATTACCAGAGCTAGAACCCACATTCTGAGACCAAAGGGAGCAAAATGTCCTTAAAAACAGCTAGCCTGGGGGGCTAGAG